AGTCTTGAGAGCAATAAGAGCTCACTGTTCTTGTTAATTTGATTCCTATATGTTCGTTCCATAGGTTTATATCTCCTTAATATGTGCTCTTGCTGCGTCTGCTTTTGGAGTTTACATCCATATGCTCTTTAACATCGGTGGATTTGTCACTGATCTTCTATTCTTTCAAAGCATCAAGTGGTTGCATTCTACTCATACAAATCAACAATCAAGTACGGTTTCATTTCATCACTTAATAATCACACTTGTTGTGTTTGAAGATTTCTTGTGTTCTTTAACTCTAATAAAGTATGTTTTTTATTTTGGATACAGCAAATCGGCTCTACGTTCTGTTTCTATCTACCGTTCTTAAAGGTGCTTCAGTTGGTCCCATGATCAAGTTAGCCATTGATCTTGACTCAAGGTGATTATTACTTTTTTTCGGTTTTGCTCTGAAATATATTACATGCTAGCTTTGTTTTCATGTCTACACAAAGCTGACATTTATTTGGATGCTTTTGGCAGCATTTTGAGCACTGCATTTGTGGGAACATCAGTGGTATTTTCGTGTTTGTCTTGCGGTGCAATGTTGGCGAGGCGCAGAGAATATCTTTACCTTGGAGGTCTACTTACTCCTGGTCTCTCCACACTTAGTCCGTTACTGTTTGCTTCTTTCATCTATAGAGGCTATGGCTCTACATGGTTATTTAACATTGAGGTAAGTTTGAGGCGAATTGCATCTTCTTTTTCGATAGAAAATGATTACTTGTATCAACAATTATGATTTTGCAGCTATACTTTGGACTCTTTCTCTTTGCGGGATACATGCCGGTGGACACACAGGAGATTGTCGAGAAAGCACACAATGGGGACATGGACTATCTTGAACATTCATTTTCTTCTTTCACTGATTTTGTTGCTGTGTTTGTTCGAGTTCTCATCATCCTCATGGTAATTAATTTCCTCTCTAATTGGTAGGTTCTTTAGTAATGGATTCATCTTTAACAAGAAACACATCAATTTCTCTCTTTTGTTTTTATGTGTGTGTGTGTAGTTGAAGAACTCTGCACATAAGGTAGAGAAGAATAGCATGGCTCTTCTAGCTCGTTTGGTCTGCCCGGTTACTAAAATCGTAATCCATAACATGTTGGATGCTCGAAATAGGGAGGCATAGAAAGCAAAAACCAAACAACCAAGGAAGAAGGAAAAGAAGAAACTTAAATCACCAAAACAAGTACAAGCACAAAGTTTCTTTCTTTACACTTCTCTTTGACTAGTTTCTTCTTACTTTCTATTAACAAAAGAACAAGTAATTAGGAATTGATTTGGAAATATATTTTCTAGTTTTGATACTCATATTATTATACTGTGGGTGTAACTCATATGTCTCTATAGATGATCAGATAATCATAATAGAGAGAACTATGTGTAATTACAAATTTGTAAGTTGACCATTATGTGGTAGTTGTGTTGTTATTACTTAGCAAAAATGAGAAAATGAAATGGATTTTGTAATTGTAAGCACGATTGGGGCATGACCTTTTGTCATTTACCTCATCGCCTAATCTCAGCCGTTTGATCATTTTGCATACACCATTTCATTATTACATTTTAGCATTCGTTTTTTTTTTAATAATAGAATAGGATATAGAGATGTGATTGGCATCTGAATTTCTGGTTACTCTTATTTTAAATTTGGTGAGACTACTACTCTCCAGTTTGGGCTCTCTCTCTGACACATTACTCTTTAATTTTCCTAACTAATACTATTTGATTTATCATTTATGTATAAATACATCATTCTGATTATTAATTTGCATTTGCATGCATATACAACAACACGATTCTAAGATTTTACTATTAAAAAGTTCATCCAAACAAATCTCATTTTGCAATGATCATTTCTTTTGTTAATAACTTTATTCTTCTTCTTTTTTTTGTATCTTTTGCATATATTTTGCTATTTTAAAAATGTTACCAATCAAAAGGTATTAATCAAATTTATAAAATAAAATAGAAATCTTACTTTTAATTTACAAACTTAGTATTTGTGATTAAATTGTTATCTCAGAAAAGAAAGTGAACGCTTACACCAAAAACTAAAATATCAAAAACATACCACAGTAAATCCAAAAGAAATCCGAATCCTATAATGAAAAAACGTATAATGTATGGTGTTTGTCCCACATTAGTTCACTAATCACAAACATTTCACAATCAAGAAAGAAACTTATAAAAAAAATGGGACCCATCTTTGAATTTCTTTAACTAAAATCAAACGGTGGAGAGAGGAGTTGTGTCCATGATCGTCATGGTGGACGGTGACTTTACATACCAA